ATATTTTTTTATTTTTATATTATTTCCTTATAAGTACTTTTAAAAATATATATATTTATTTTCAAGGATTTTTGTGGTCTTCACGTTTGATGGAATCAATTAAATAATATCATGCAAAGTTAAATAAATGGTCAAAAAATGTTTTTTATGTCATTTTTTTTGTTTATATGATGTCACCTTTGAGTAAAATTGAATTGATTTTGCATAAATATACAACTAGGATAATTCTCAAAAAAAAAATAATTTTTATTTTGAGAAAAAATTTAATTGAAAGCAAAACAGAAAAAAAAAAAAAAACCTCTTTATTTTTTTGAACTGGAACTTATTTTTATGAAATGTGATGATAATATATATTTTGAAGAACAAAACCATCCCTGATCAAAAAAAGTTGGGAAATGCCATGCCATGTACACAAGGGAGAATTTCTCCCATTTATTTTATTCCATTTTTTAAGGAGGAAGTTTCATTTTGACAGGTTAAATCCCAAGAAAAAATCTATGCTTTTTTGGAAACAGACTCCTGCAGGATGTTTTCCAAATACTCAATAAATACATTCTATTTAACTGTTATCTTTCTTGGATATTTATAATGAACTTCATTTCTTGCTTTTTTTTTAAATTTATTAATACACATTTTGAAATTCTTTTAAATTTATCGTTTTAGGCTCTTTGACCTTTTATTGTTCGGTGATAGGAAGTGATGAGGAGGAATGAAAAACATAACAGATCAACACGTTTGCTGTCTTCAGTTTTATTTTATTTCTCATTAAAAGGGAATGATTTTTTTTTTTTCTTACATGATACAAACTTTATAAAAAGGTTTCTTAGGTAAATACAAAAATGAATTGAGAATAAATTTTGCTAAACATCGATCTTTCAGGAATAAATCATTTCACATGAAAAAAAATTGCTTTTAAAAGAAGAATGTTCAACCATCAAAGTATTATTTTTTTGGGGAACAAATAATCCCATATGAATTTTTCCCCAAAGATTACAATCTTAAAAATCTTCAAGTCTAGAATTTTTTCATTATCTATATTTATTTTCATAAAAGAAAAATTTACCTTTAAAAAAAAATTTAAATAAAACAAATTTTTTCATTTTTTAATTTTTTAAAAATAAATTTTTCTTAGACCATTTTACTGGATTTGAAAATTAAGTATAAAAAAAATCATTATTATCCTATTATAATTGTATTTTTTTTTTTTTAATTATTTTAAACATTTTTCATTTTAACAATTTGCCAATATATTTCATAAATATAATGGAAAATCTTTTTTGATTGCATGGAAAAAGGAGAAAAAAAACACATTTACTTGGTTTTGGAGAGAAAATGAAAAAAGAAAAACAAAGGAAATTACATTTAATTGGGGTTAGAAATCAGATTAACTGATAAAAAACAGATGAACACTTTGATCTAAGTATTAATGACATTGATAAACATGCCATTTTCAATATTTTTAAGAAAGAAACCAAGAAATTTCTAATTACCAAAATTGTTCCCAATAAATAAAATAACAATCCTCTGCTGAATTAGTTTAAAATTATTATTAAAAGAAATCATAAATTCCATATACATCTGAAGCCTCAATTATTTATATTTTGTTCCAATCATCTTAGACAGGGAAATTTATATTCCATTGCCAATATTTAATGATTATATATTTTCATTTTTGTTTTTCTAAAAGACAAAATTTTGGATTGATATTTTTAAACCTTCCTATTGAGAACTGTACTGGTGGGGTTTCTTCTTGGGTCAAAATTTTTCATTTTCTTCTTTTTAAAAAACATTTAATAAAGTTTGAGTTGTTAATATCATCCAAAATGATAAAAAATTTTTTAACCTAAAAAAATTTTTTTTAAATTTTGTTTGACTCATTTGGAGAATCATGCTTAACTTTCCACTCAAGAACTGAGTGTCTATTGATGATATGCATCTAAAAAACTTCAATCAAAAAAAAATTCTTTTGTTCTAACCTTATATTTTTAAAAGCATGTGGACCTGATAAAAACATCATATATTTAGTCAATTACGGTGCTCCCATTTTGGCTCCTGTTCTCTCTAAATGGTAAACAAATTCTTCATTGACTCTTGCTTTCCTGCATTTTGGAAATTAAAAATAAATATTTTTAATCTTTAAGAACTCAGGCAAAAAATTGGACCCTTCTAACTATCTATTTGAATAAAACTGTTTTTTTTTGTCAAATTACTACTTAAAAAAATTAATCAACTCTGAATGGGGTTAAGCATCTCACATCACAGGATTCTTCATTCTGGTAAATTTATAAAAATTTTATATTTCTAAAAAAAATTAAATTAAAAAAAGAATGAATTAAAAAAGCATTAGATAAGAATGGGTTTGCTTGTATTGTTTTTTTTGATATCCCAAAAGCATTCAACAAATTTGATATATTAAGTCAGCCTTTTGCCAGTTTTGAAAATTTATGGTCAAAATTAGACTAAAAAATAAAACTGATGCAGCCTTTGATTAAAAAAAAAAAAATTTGTTATAAAATTATACAAATTAAAAAGCTTTCCAAAATAACAAATATAACAACTTAAAAAAAGTTAACACCTATTTAATAAAAATAAAATTTTTTTTTTTTTTATTAGTATATAACAAAATTTATATACAAATTTAAAATTGTTACCATAAAAAAAAAAAATGTTTTTTGTTGTGGAAAAATTAGAACAGAAATTAAATTAATTGTTGGGAAAAGAGAAAAAAAAAAAAAAGGAGGACAGTAGATAGTGACTGACACTTAAATTTAAATTCTTACAGATTAAAGTTGGCTAAAAAGCATGGAGCTGGAAGAGGTCCATTTTGTATTTCAATAAAAGAAAAAAAAACTGTTAGCATAGAACTTAAATATTACAACTAGCAAACTCAACTGTAAATTATGAAACCTCAATAAAAGTTTAGTTTTATACTGCGCTTAAATTCAAAAAGTCTTGGTACCATAGTGAAGAGCTCATTTCAAAGAAAAAACAATATTACCCAGGTGGATGCAAAATTCGTTATGAAAACAGATAAGTTCCTGAACACATGTAAAACAAATATATTGGTATTTGACATTCTTCATTTTTTTAAAAAGGGTAAATACCTGAAAATTTCCAAAGATATAAAATGTGATTGTAAGAGAAACAATACTTCACTTCGAAAGAGATCTTCCAGTATTATTGTTACCTTTGGATGAAAGGGATATGGATGTGGTTCTGTTTTCATTGGAATCACTGCTAATAATTTGAGTTTGACTCTGGAATGTTCACTCTTCCCACAGGGCCAAGAATTTTGACTGAGAACAACAAATCATATTGAAAATTAAAATTTTTATTTAACTCATTAGGTTTTCAATTTTTTTTCAGTGGGCATCATTTAAAGTCCTTGTAAAATTAACCCTTAAAGGGAGAATTTTTGTATAATGATGATTTCATGCTGTTGATTAGAAAAAACTGTTGTAACTCTTTACCCTTTAGGATGCCAGGATGAAATAACATGGGCATAAATATGAAAAAGATGGAAGGATAGTCAAAACAACTGCTATCTAGTCTGATAGGCTGAGAAAATGTTATCAGCAAAATTTCTTCAATAGAAGATATGAGTCACATTTTCAAAACCTGGAAATTCCATGAAGGTAATACAATTTGAAATCAATAAAAATATTTCAACAATATTAGCTGTTTTTTTTTACGAAGAAAACATTTGGCATTCATTGAACAAGCAGCAAAACTGTAGATATGGGGACTATAAAAAGACTTCATAGAAAAAAATTGGAATAATGGTGACTGTAGTAAAAATGCTAAAAAAAATGTGTTGTCTTATGTATTTAAAAAATTTTTTTTTTTTAAAAAATACAAGACCCAAGAGCCACTAAAGGTAGCTTTGTTTTGTTATTTAACCAAAAGGTAAGTTTCTTGCTCAGGCTATGCAGGAAAGATAATGGTCAATGCAAGACTTGATCAAGATTTAATTACTGAATAAAATTTCAGAGTTCAATTGAAGATGTTTTTATTTTTAAGTTCATCTTTAAAAAAACTGAAATCCAGTTCTAAACAGGAAACAAAGGATAAACCTCTAATCATTTTATGTTTGGGTCACAAAATTATGGCTTTCAAAATGTGGGACAGATGAAGACCAGCCTTCCTCATAATATTAGCTGTTTCTTATAAAGGAAACATTTGGCATTCAATTATCAAGAATCAGTATTGCTTTTCAGTTGAAATTTATAAAATTTTCTCTTAAAACAATTTTTCAGGAAAATAGGTTTCTCAAGTCCAGTAACTGTTATTGCTCTTTCCAGTATTGATGGGTGTTTCCTTGCTAACCTTTTGTTTGAAGTAGTGTGGAACTACAACATTTTGATTATGCAATTATTTTCTCTTTGAGTTACATGTGATATCCATTTTACTTGTAGCTGCTGTTGAAAGTCCTCAAGTGATGTTATTTCTGTTATTTGGTACAGTTCCTGTTTTAATACAAATTGTCATAGACTGACAAATTGAATTTGGTTTAGTTCTTTTTCAAAATGTGGATAGGAAGCTGAAAGTGGCTCTGAATGCATCACACCTCTAAAATAAATGTGAAAAAGAAAACAGGCCCCGATGAGATTTGAACACACATCCCATTACGGACTCAGATGATGTGAATTCAAATCAGTTTAAAGGCAATTTCTTTATTTCCTATAGAACATAAAACAAGAGAAAAAAAACCTGTAGAAATCTCAACTCAAACACTATCGTATGGGTTATCTGCCCTTGAAGAGATTCCGTTAAAAAAGCAACAAAATAATTAAAAAATTAAATTATTTTGATTTATTAACAATTTATATTCTAAACTGAACTAATGCCATATTTTTTTATTATGATAAAAATCTTAATGCGTAATAATAAAAATTAAAGAAGGAAAAAAAAAAGTTTGACAAAAATAAATCCGTAACTGCTACCGGAAGTAAAAAGCATTTGCGATTTTTTAAAACTGGCGGAAATTTTGAATTGACAAGATGACGGCGGGTGAGTTTTTAACTGCTTTATTAATTTAAACAGTTTACTAGGCTTTGTAGTATTAAATAACACTTTACAATTAATAAATCTCAATCACGAATGTCCTTTTTGCTAATATTTTCTGTTGATCGCTGCTTTTGGGTTGTTTACAGTAAAACACAAAAGAAGAAAGAAAAGAAAACAAAGTTTGATATTTATTTGAATTTGATCATTAAAAAAATCGACTTTTTACAATATTGTTATTAAAATAAAATAACAATATTATATATTAAATTTACGGTTTTAAGATCCTGGTTGAATGTTCATTTCTATTTTAAAGTCCAAACTTAACATAACAACGTTGAAAAAAAAAAACTGAAAAATTATTAATTATGTTAAAAAAAAATTATGTACAGGTTTTTTACCTTTTAAATTAAGAAATAGTTTTTTTACGGTTTGATTTTTATTATTATTATTTTAATAAGTATTAGAACCTGGCACAAAAAGAATTTTAAAAAAATGATGTAAAACTATCCGATCCTACTCGTGTATAAGTCGAATACAGTACATTTCAGCGCTTCAAATGATTTCTCCATACCAAATACTGATTTATATCGCTTGTTTTTTTGCGTAAATTTCTGGAACGAGATTCATTCTGGCCATTCTTAGATTTTGTCATTAATTTGCGTGTTAGAAAAACATTTGTTTTTTTAAGTTTTCAGACTTTTCACATGCAAATTTTAAAAGTCAAGTTCAAATATTTGATTAAGATTTTCAGTACGTATATTATTTCTAAAATGAGTTTTTAAATGTGTAGTTTTAATTTGTAGTAGTGTTAACGAATAAATCTTCCAAGAAATAAGATCATTCTATTGAAAAAAAAATTGACACCTATTTTTTTTTTTTTTTTTTTTTTTGCAAGCAAAAAGAATATTTTAAAGGTGACTAGAAAAGAATTAAAAAAAATGTATGTGTAGTAATTTTACTAGAAATGAAATACTGTCATAAGCAAGATTAGTACAACAACAATAACAAGATACTATTTTAAAATACTGGTCCACTCATCAAAAAAAAAAAAAGGAAAAAAACTTTTTGGAAATAATTTGTTTTTATTAGCCTTCTTTTGACTGCGTAAGCTCCTTTGTTGTTACAATGGTTGGGAAAATCCTGTTTTTGGTTTATTACGGATTTACCTTGTCCTGTGAAATGTGCTTACTAGTACCTACCTATGATTTCTTTCAGGTTCTTAGGTTTACGATATGCTAGAAGGCCGGGTTCCTCAAACAATTTTTTTTTAGGTCTGGTTTGAGATGTAGTATTTCCCAGCGACTTTTGTTGATTATTTGGGATAGTGGAGACAGAGTGGGATTCATTAAAAGTGGGATGCGGTTGGGTTTATTTTTTTTAATCTTGTACATTTGGGTGGGTGTCTTCTCTAGGTGTGGAAATGTCTTTATTTGTTCCCTGAGGTGTTGTTTATAGCCACATGTTGTGAATTATGCTCCAGATTTTCAATGTGTTTTTTAGTTCCTCATTGTTCGAACATATCCTTCTGAGTCTAAGTGCTTATGAATAATACCCTTCACAAGCACTCAGAAGGTTTTTTTACTTATATAATTTTTTTTTTGGTCATTAAAGGACCAGACAACCAAACAGATATATTTTTAAAGTAGTGCCACGTTTTTTAATTAAAGGACATAAATTAACAAAAGCATAAAAAAATATGAAGATATGAATGATGATTATATTGTAAACACATTTTCAAAGCACAATATTTGTAAATAAAAAAAAAAAAAAAAAATTAAGTGCAGATAACTCTTTACTAAAAGTCAGGCGTTGTTTAACACAATATTCTGAACAGGACCCCCCCCCCCATCCTACTTCTAAATTGATTAACAAAACAATATTTTTTTGATCAAGGAAAATCTAAAAGAATATTAATCTATAAAAATTATTCCTTGGAAAATATATCACACTTTTTTTTTTTTTTTTTTTTTTTTTTAATGAGTGGACCAGTTTATTTAAGTAGTTCCTCCTAGAACAGTACAAAAGAAATTTATTGAAAAAAAAATTAATCAAACATTGGACAGAATTCCTGTTTAGTTTGCAGTAATGTAGATTATTTGAAAAATGCAAATATTGAAAATAGGCAAGACATTTCAATCATTTTCCAATCACTGGCTTACATTTCAATCAGAAGAAGAATAATGATTTTTTTTTCTCTCAAAGCTTAATTAAAGTTTTCAATGCTTTTTACAATATTTACATCATTCGGACTGGTGTATTCATCTTTATTGCCATATTCATGACATTTCAGTTGAATGCTGTAAATAGTTACAATAGCTCATTTCAGAAATATAGAAAGACTAGCTAAAATGCTTTTTTTTTTTTTTTTTTTTTTTTTTTTTTAACTTAGTCTGTCTATATTTCTGAGAAGCATTAAAGCTAGTTCCAGTAGAGGTCTGTTGATTGTGCCTTCATCACAATAGTTAGGGAGGAGTAGATGCAATAGACAACAATAAACAACAGAAGAACTCAAAATTGATTGCTGCATTTAATTATTGCATTAATATTTAAGCTTAGGTTTTAAAAGTTCAATAATTTTTCTGCTTCCACTTAAAGATAATTTGATGTATGTAGGTCCTTACTTTCCATACAATTATTTTTTTTCATGGGTGACTTTCACTGGATTTTGTTATTAATTTCAATTATTCCCAAATTTATTTCCAAGTTATAAAAATTGTTATTGTACAAAAAAATTTGTTGCAAAAAATCATGTAAAAAAAAAAAAAAAAATAAATAAATAAATACAGTGTAACCCGGATATAAGAGAGTTGTCGGGACTGGAGAAGAAGTCTCTTATATCCGGGTTTCTCTTATATCCGGGTTACACTGTAAATAAAGTCACCAAAAATGATCACAGTAATGAAAAACTTGGGAATCCAAAATTTCAGGATTGTTCATCCAGATCCAACCCAAAATGGTATATGTTGGGCTATGGCCTATAGGAGTAAAGTTGAAAAAGTGTGACACTGTGACATTCGCATTTATTATATAGGTTTTTAATGCTTGTAACTAATTTTTGTATCCTTTGTTGCATGAAATATTTAACTAGAGTCCATTGAATGTGCGAAAAGGTTACAAAAATTCAAAATGATTGATTTCCAGTAGAGGTCACATCATGTGTCCTGTCACTCATTAGGGCCGTATGGCATCACATGTACTGCAGCCATAGCAATAATGGATAACCTGTCAGAGCTCATCCCTCTTTAGGCTGTTTTTTTTTTTTTTTTTTTTACTTCCTTCTAGAGAGCCCAGTCTGACCTATTAATCCCTATTTGTGGGGAGAGATGAGTTCATGCCTTTTCAAGGATATTTGTGGGAAAGCGACCATAACTGGGATTTTAACTCTGCACACTAATCCCACTTTTTGTACTAACAGCCACCATGCTACACAGACAGCCAAACCTTCAGCAGGTCTGCTGAGATATTACTGATGGCCTACCACAGATTAGGATTGTTTATTTCTTGCTTAAAACAGCATACCCCAGAGCATCCATGCTGTTTATGTGTTGCCACAGTTTCCGTCTCATTCTGAACAATTAGGTCTCATCCATTGTCAGCATGAAGGATCTTTTTGTATGGCACAATTTGCAGTTCAATGTCCAACAATCTGGTCTATTAGATTCTGCTACTGACTTCACCCAACATCCTATTGTAGGGCCGCCAATTTTCCATTTTTCAAATTTTCCTTGATTCTGTTTCCACCTTGGTAAATTCCGTTTTTACTTTTGGGAAATTTCATATTTTCCATTTTTTATAATATTTTATGAGAAATTTGCAATACATTATGCTATAATTATTATTAAAACTGAAAACAAAAACAGAATTCAAATTTTTATTGCATATAAAGAAATAGCAAATATCTACAAATCTTTTTTAAATGTTAAAATCCAAGTCCAAAAATAAATTATATGTAAAAATAAAAAAAAAAACAAGAAGTAAAAAGACTAGACAATAAAACAATGGAATGTTACAGTGCATAATTATCTATAAGGTAGAACTTTTAATCAGAGCTTCCTTCTTGAAGAACACATTCAAATTGTTTTTGTTATTTAAGTAAAAATATTTAGATTGATTTATTGATTCATAATATAAAAATAACATTTAAAGTATCAACAGCAAATAACTTGAATCTCAATAATAAATATCTGAATATAGTGAAATATTTTGACTAAAATTTTACGAAACAGTAATTAAACCATAATAACTGAATTTTTGTGACAAAATGTCAAAAAAACAAATCAGTAGACATATTAGTTCAAAATTTAAATAAAACAACTTATCCCAAGTTGAAATACTGCTCAAATTTAAAATTACTAATTTCTTAATTTGGAATATGTCTAATCTCTTTTCTAAATCTCCATTGTAATACAACCTTGTGAGTTACTTGGTGTTCTCAGGTGTAAGATTTTCATATTGTTTATTGAGTAAAGTTTTATACTGAGAAAATGAATGTTCGTCTACTCTGGTTACAGGCATCCATATGACCTTATTTGCATTACAAATTTAAAAATTTTTTTTTACAATGGTGAAGCACTGAAGATGACACAATTATTAATCTGGGAGAATCACTCTGTGACAGTAAGCATCGGAGTAGACAAGCCAGTCGAGCATAGAATGGTGTTTTTGGAAAAAAATTTCTTTATTTCTAAATTGTATGGTAGGCATGTGATAGCATTTACTTTTCTTTCATATTCATAAAACAAGTTGTTTAGAATCTTTTACTTGTAAATTGTATGGGGCCTTAAAGGAAATGAATTTGTTAAACTTATTGGTTTGATCTTTGTCTCTCTCCCCTTCCAATTTTGATATCAACTAGTGTCTATCTTCCCCATTTCCACTTTAGCAATGGATCTCAATGGCTACAACCGAGCAGTGACCTTCCGACCTTCATCTTGTTTGCTACATAGTTTCTTAGAAAAGTTTTAAAATATTTAAGAATAGACTAGCCAACGTTTTCTCAGAAAATCGATGAAGCAGTTTTCAATATAAACATTTTTGTTTTTAATTCTTTTTCAGGTCTTAAAAGGAACAATAACTACAAATATTTGTAAAAACAAATTTTAAGGAAATAACTACCTTTATGCTAGTGTTATGTTTAAAATCAGAGAGACAGTTATTAAGTTTTGAAAGAAATAAAAAAAAAAAAAAAAAAATTAAATAATTATTGTGTTATTTATTCAAAATTACATTAAAAACCAGATTCTGTTTAAGATTAACAATTCTGTGATTCTGTCATCACGGAAAATTTGTTCTACTATTGTTGAAGATTAAGAAGAGATTTGAAGCAACAGAAATGTGGTTCTTCAGAAGGATGCAGAATACCATAGACCAAACATACAACAAAATTTCTAGAGAAAATAACCAAAAACATCAGGAAGAGACAGTTGAAATTCCTAGGGCACATAATGAGGAAACAAGGCTTGGAAATTTTGATACTCATAAAAACAGATTGAAGGCAAATTGGGATAGAGGAAAACAACGCATAACCTACCTACCGAGTTTTAGAGAAAATGGTAACAAAAAATACACTTATACTTAACATCAGGAAGAGACAGCTGAAATTCTTAGGGCACATAATGAGGAAAGAGGGTTTGGAAAGTCTGATACTCACAGGACAGATTGAAGGCAAGTGAGACTGAGGAAAACCATGTATAACCTACCCTGCAAGCTTGGGTTTAGGATAGATAACAGAAAGACAATTTATTAAGAGCTACAAAAGACAGGAAGTTGTGGAGAACCATGATCTTGAAGGGACATGGTACATTGAAGAAGCAGTAGAAGAACTTCTGATGTCCAATTCTCTTTGAATTTTTGGGATGAGGAGTTTACACTATTTACATTTGGTCTATTGTCTTCATCTTTCTTGTCGCCACAACGTTTCGGCCGTTGTGCACTCTGGTCCTCATCAGGTGTATATCAATCTGGGTAACCTACAGGAAATTCTGAAATGAACTCTTTATTTAATCTATGTTGGTAGACTAGGAATAAATTTAAATTCTGATTCATTCTCATTTTATCAACTGTAACCTGCACTTTTTAAAAGTAATCTATGGAAGGTGCAAACGGCCATTATTCAGTTCTTCTGAGTATTAGTTCCCAGATTGTACTGATTTCTACATTTTCTTTATTATTTTTGATAAACTCATCTGCTGTTTCCTTCTCTTTATCCAGATTTCCATTAAGTTCTTTGCCTGTTATTTTTTGTTTTTGGCAGCATCTTTGTATCTTTCTGTTTGCTTCTAATTAGTTCTGTTTTACAATCAGACCAGGGATTCTTCCCTGTTGTGGGTTACACATCAACCCAAGTCTTAGATGGAGACTTGGAGATGAAATGATTTCTGTCAAGTAATTTCTTATATTCTTTGAGAAACTGTAAAAGGGGAAGTCCAGCATATGATTGCCTCAGTGTCTGCATGATGGCATGACTGTACCAATTTCTGCATGATCATACTAATGTCCAATGTTCCAGAACAAAACAACAATTTCAATTTTCATGTTATTTTTCTCAATTTGCTTCAGATTTGTTTACATTTCCTAATTTTTTTCTTTCCAGTTGTTGAAACAAATCCTATGGAAAGTATGAAATCAGTTTTGACCCAGTGTCAACACAGTACTCAGGGCCATGGCAAACTGCTTAAAGAAATGGAGAAAGTTTACGATAATGTGAGTCTTAGTTTCTTTAATTGTGACATTGTTTATTTATTGCATTATAAACCATTTAATGTTAAAGATCTTTTGTCCCCAACTTTTTTGCTACTTATTCTAAAAACGTTCTGTTGACACTGATAATTATTGCACAACTGTTTTGTACCTGTTTGGAACTAAGCTACATATTTTTTTTTCTTTTATTAAAGGCATCTCTTTGAAGTGCCTGTACTAATTTTAACCAACATATTGAATTTTCTGTTTCCCATTGCAAGTAATATATATATATATATATATATATATATATATATATATATATATATATATAATGGACTAACATTTTTCTTATATATATTTGTGTTTTTTGTTTATTAGAAAAATGTTAGTCCATCCAAATTTATAACAGGAATTCGAAAACAGATATTAGAGATGAAAAGATCAAATCTCTTTATATTTTTTAAAATACTAATTCCTTTTATTCTAAAAAAAAAAAAAGTCTTTGAGGTCAAATAATATGCTACTTATACAAATATGTATAAAAAGAAAAATGCATTTGAGCATTTATATATGATCCCAGAATGGAGTGTATAAATTACTCATTAAGTCAAATCCATCTGTCCTTCCTTGTACCGAATACCTGTTGGTATTAATTATATTCTGGTTAATTTCTTTACAAGGTGAACTTCCATAGTTGTTGACATTTACTGTGTTTTGTTTTATAGACATGTTATATGTGCACCCCATTTCTAACCATCTTTGTACAAGTCCATTTGGCTGAGTTTCAAATTTAGTGTTGCCCTGTTATTTAACCTATAGGTGGGAGAAGAGGAGATGGATTCATACTGCTCCCAAGAATATTTGTGAAAGTGAGTGTAATGAACTTGACCCTAATTTGAACTTGGTTTGTTGATTTCTCATTCCATGCTGCTCATTACATCACCTTCATACACATCACATGAAGCGGGGCAAATGTTTTCTCCATTGTCAGAAGGTTTTTGGATGAAATTAAAGTAAATGGCACCAAATCATATATATGGATTAAATCTGACAAGTATTTTAATATATTTTTTCTTTCAATGTTTTTTTTATGGATACAACTTATGCTCTGTTTTTTAATGTATATGTGTGTGTGAATGAAGACGAAAGGAAAACTTATCTCAACCGATGTGTTTTACCCTCTGAGGGACTTTATCAAGGCTAAATGTCCCTCAGAGGATGAAACTCATTGGCTATTTTATGGATACAACTTACTTGAGTATAGACTGTTTTTAATTAAACCATATTAATTACATTTACTGGCCTGAATGTTTGAGAAATTTTGTAGAAAATATGCTTTCTCTAAATCACTTTGAATAACGGTTTCCGTATGGGATACAGGTTTGATTCCTGTCTACGAAATTTCTCAAACATTTAGGCCGGTAAATGTAATTAATACGGTTTAATTAAAAACAGTCTATACTCAAGCATTCAAAGGTGGGCTGGAGACATGAATCCTGAAAACTGGCAATTAAGTTGACATAGATGAACTGGAGATGAAATTCCTAAGAAACTCTGATAATTAAGTGGACTTAAAAGAAATTTATTTTCTTATCTCCTGTGAGAAATCTTATTGTTACACAACATGAATGTGTTAAAATTGAATTTTAGGATCCAATTTTTAAACCAGAATATATACTTGGGTAATAATTTCATGAAGTTGATTAAATTAGGTTGAAATGAAACCAACAAACAAGTTTTAGCTTCAAATATGAAAAATATCCAACTGTTGCGACCAGACAATAAAAATTACTTAGAAGTTTGTAATGAAAAGGCTTGTTGAGACTTCAGCAAATTTGTATTGAATATTTTCATTCATTTATTCAAGTCAGTCAGTTTTGTTGGTAAATATCTTTCATGTCTAAATTTAGCAGTTGCTCTGAACCAGTTCACCTAATTTTTTTTTTTTTTCCTATGAAACTATTGTTAGCTGCCTGCAACTGTCTTCCCAATATTTTAATTAAAATCTATAAGTACAAGGGTTGCTTCAAAGGTAATGGTTTAGGTATGGCAGGTTTGTCCTTCCCAGCCATAATTTTTTTTTTTTTTTTTTTTTTAACCTTGTAGATAACAGCTGACTGGTAAAATGTCTGACATGACTGTGGACAAAGAGGTGTATTATTGCATTCTTCCATACAAAAAAAAGATTGACCCCTCTTGATATTGGTTCTTGTTGAATGTTTGTGGAGAATTAATGATGGATGTGAGCACATTTAGGCAGTGGGTAATGTATTTCAGTGGGAATGACCACAATGCTCCTGGCAGCCCTGTCAAGCCTTGAAATGAAGAGCACTTTTAAAATGTTGAGATAATTTTTGTGATTATGTGGGGAAAACAGTTTTGTAGCTGAAAACTAGTTCTATCCAACAACATTTTGCTCTTTGTATATGTTGTAGTTTCCATGGAAATGGGGAGGCATTACTTTTGGCGCATCCACAGTTCAATTCACTTTTGACTGATTTGCTGATTGTCTGATTTAATTCCAATCTGACTTTGATTGCAACTGGCTTATGGCCATATCTTGTTGAAACACTGGTTCTCATATGATCACTGAAATTAAGCTATGTTGAGCCTGGTCAATACTTAGATGGGTGACCATTTGGAAATACCAGGCTTTGTAAGTTTTGATGTTGTGGGGGGGTGTAATGGATAATGGTTTGGAATCGGAAAACGAAGAACAGAGTTCCGATTCCAGTTGAGTTCATTATATTCACTTACTTGCAAATACTCTTGAGTAAGGTATGAATCCACTTCTTTCCCCTTAAGCTATGTGTTAATTAGTAGGTCAGTAAATCATTATCACGAAAAAAAATTCTTACAGCCTAAAAATATTTTCTGGCTTTAAATAACTTGCAAATGCTTGATAAGCCATAAAAAAGAAATTGATCCAACCATTGATAGTAACTCTGTTTGAAAATGAGTAAATCATGAACTGTTTATATTTGTATGTCTTGATTATTTTAAAGATAGTAGTATCAACAGCAGTGGAAGTGTTTTTTCCATTTGGGCCTCTTATGGGTATAAAACTCAGCTTCTTAAATTAGTAAAGATGCATAGCTATTCAATGAAGGGAAAGTGACAAAACTGTTTTTGAAAAATAATTTTTACACCTTGATTTGTTTTCTTAATTTTTCAGATGCAGTTTGATGATTTTTGGTCTGATCTGCAGCACCTGATGAAGTTTCCAATGGTGAAATTTGAACGTGAACCAGTAGTTGAACGTACGATCACCTTCTTGGCAAATGCAATTGTGTATTTTAGCAAAAAAGAAAACAAGGTGGAGACTGGTTCCAAGCCGGAGAAAAAGGAAGGGGAGGAAGAAGAGGAGGAGGAGGAGGAAGTTCTTGATTTCACACAATGTCTTTTGCTCAATAAAGTCTTTGATTTTATTTTGGCAGTAAGAATTTTGAACATCACTTTTTTTTCTTTTTTTTTTTAATTCCCTTTCTCTTTCGTTTAATTCAAAGTCTTAGTGATGTGTTCATAATGTTCCTTTTGCAAACCCTTGAGAGTAAGTTCATTTTTCACAAAAATGTATGACCTGACCCTTGACAATCCCTTTCTTTCTGCTGTTCAAAACATTTCTCTCGTAAAGTCAGCTACAGTCAGTTTTAGCATCACAAATTCTCCTTTATGCTGTATGTAAAATAAATATAACTTATTTCAACTATTATTTTTTTTTTTTTTTTTTTTTTCTTTAAGTAAAAGATGAAATTTAATTCAACAGTGGTAATATCAGTGAAAATTACAGTTTTCCTATTTGGATTTTCTGATGAATCATGATTCTTAATTTAATGATTGAATAAGTTCCTTGTGAGTTTCGGGATTATAATATACTCCTGGAAATTCCCCTATTGCCTTGTTAAATATATAAAGTTAACAACTTTCACAAAATATTGCTGTAACAATGATATGAGTAAGTATGAATGCGGGTCATTGGAAATTTTTATTTTATTTTTTTTAAATATGATGTCCTTTCAGGATTATGGCTCCTGACAGATTTCATTCTGTGAATTGCCATTGTTGTGTTGTCACTGAATCCCAACACTACTGCAGATGTTAAATAATAGTTTATCAGGCTTATTTTTTTAGTGAAAGTGTATCATGGTTCTGAAGATTGACCTTTGAGGTCAGATGGAAGCCATAAGGGAGTCGATTTTGATTGGCTGAGCTAGCATGGAAATGTTATTCAGCGAGTCGAGTCTTAACTGTCAAGCAATGTAGATGTGTTCTCTTTCATGTCTGAAACTGCTCCCCAGTGAGTGGGAATGATCCCTGCCCCACTGGTTAAAAATTATGTGTTTGATGTCATTTCATCTCTGGACCTAAAACATTTTGCGACTCTGGCCAGGAGCAGATGAGAGAGAGAAACAAACACACACATAGATGTTATCAATGAAAAGACAATTTCTTTTTCTTGTTTTATTAGAGGAGTGGACAGATGGATTTTAGGAGGCAGAACTTCAAGGGAATGCATTCCTCTGCATGTGGTTTTAGCCTGTCTCACAAACCTGGGTGTAGGAAGTATATCAATGCTTCAAAATTCCTGTTGACTTATATCCAAAACTTAGACAAAGGTAACCCATCACTGTCAGAATACCACCTACCAGATATTCTGACCAGTTGCTGACCATCCTGGCCTAGTCTCTGCATTCTGTAACACCATGACATCTGGAGAAAGATAGTGGAGTGGTTTCTTTTTGATTTCTGTTTGGTTTTGAAATCAGAGTTGTCCTAGATTGGTTGCCTTTGCAAAGATAGAGATCCTAGTCTACCTTGATATTTAAACCATAACTTGGGTGGGGGGGAGTTAGATTCCTACCTTTCCCAAGGGCATTCATGCGAAAGTGAATGTAACAGACTATGACAGAACTTGAACTTGGCATGCCAATTTCACTTTTATGTTACATGTTCATCCTAGGAAGTTACTGAATACAAAACCAGAAGAAGGCTAAAGAATACTATATACAAAAAATTATGATAATGACAACTGAGGAAATGGGTCTAAAATAATCATTGTATAATGACAGCGGATCAAATCATTGAAGTAAAATGAATGCAGTTGCAAATTTTTATTTTATTTTTATTTATTTATTGAGACATTTGGTAGAAAATGTGTGAATTGAACATGCATCCTATACAGAAAAACCATTTAGCCTGGTGTGCTATGACCGTTCAGCCACAGAGAACTTCTGCTTAAGCAAAGCTCAAATTACTGCTTTTAAATATTTTTTTAGGTTCGATCTCTATTGGAGAACAATTATTTTCTACAAAATTTCTCAAACATTCAGGCTGGTAAATGTAATTAATACTGTTTAATTAAAAGAAGAGAGCATTTACTCAAGTGTATCCATAAAAATTAACATATAAACAGAAAACATTAAATATATATCATATTTAATCCATTTCCTATGATATGTAGTTACTGTTTATGTTAGTTTATGAATTCATAGCAGATATGATAGATTGAGAAAAATTGGTGAAGATGTGTGTTTAAAAGCTGTAATTGAAGCTTTGCTTAACTGGAAGTTCTCTGTGGCTGAATGGTCACAGCATGCCAGGCTAAATGGTGGTTCTGTATAGGATGCAGGTTCAATTTCTGTTGGAGGATGAATATTTTAATTTCTATAAAATTTCTGAAATATTCAAGCTGGTAAATGTAATTTTTACTGTTGAATTCTAGAACAGTGTGCATACTTGAATAAGTGTATCCATAAAAATAATAATGTATAAACAGAAAAGAAAAAAAATAAATAAATATATAATATATATATGTGCGTGTGTGTGTGCATGCAGACACACACACACACACACACACACACACACACACTCTGTCCTTGCGCTTGTCCTTCCTTTCGTTAATTTGCATGATCATTATGTCCTGCCAATACTTCCTAAATAATGGACTATTCTGTTTTGATTATATGAAAGAGGGTAAAAGACACTACTTGATTTCATTGAGAAGATGAAGGAAGACAGTGAAGATCGTGTTTAATGAATGTTTCACAAAATGGAAAAAGTTGTCAATTTCAAATCTTTTCATTTGTACCCCCTTACTTCTTAAAATAATGGTCTATGTTCATATTTATGATTGTTATTGTAATATTTTGTTGAAGTTGTTCAAATATTTAAAAATATGACAGTAATTTCTACAGATATTTTATTGTCATAGAACTTGTCATGAGCTTATTCAATCATTAACGGAAGAATTAAAATTCATCAGAAAATTCAAATAGGGAAACTGAAATTGTCAAGTGTTAAAACTAGTATATATACATGTGATAAAAATATAGTTTTGAAGGTATGCTATACTTATGGGTAAAAGTACTCAATATCAGAGATAGAGCATATGTAAATATAAAAGTGGACATGGAGGTAAACACCGAATGGTGATTGTCTGTTATATACTTGACCATAATTTTTATTTCAAGTATGAAACACTGTCACCACTCACTCTTGACCTTTTTGTCCACTTGTTTGTAATGAAATGTCATTTTTTTTTTTTTTTTTTTTTTTTTTTAAATTTTACTTTATTTTTTTCCCCTCCTTAGTCTCATGATTGTTCATCCCGTGCTATCCGGTACCGATGTTGTCAACTGGTGACCAAACTTTTGACTGGAATTGGTGATGCTTTGCTTGATGATAGCGTGTGGAGTCGTCTGAGTGCAGCCATGCTGATGAGAATCAAAGACACTATTCCTGTTGTTAGGGAACAGGCTGTTCTTGCTCTGGCTCGATTACAGGACCCAATAGATGAAGAGTGTCTGGTCACTGCTGGTTAGTGGACATTTGTAGAGTATTTTTTTTTTTTTTTTGTTCAGTTTGCTTATGAATGAAGGAATGCCACAATTCCTTAATATTATTGAATTCTTTTCTACTTTTTACTAATTCTTCTTTTTCTTTTGATTTTCTAAATTATCATTGAATGACGACTCAAATCTTGATTATCGTTATTTTTCTAGTTCTAGGCAGAATTTATATCTGTATTATATCAAAATTCAAAGTAGTTGATAGAAAGAGTAGCAGTGTGTTTAATATTTGATGAAAACATTAAATGTAATTTTGGCTTCTAAAGAAGTGGACATAAATAATTTAAAAAAGGATAAAATTTTTATGGAATTCTATCATTTTAAGCCCGGCAATGTTAGTTACAATCTTATTTCTTGCAGTGTTTGAGATTTGTTGTCATCCGACACCTCATGTTACAAATTAGTGAAATAAAGATTTTTACAGTATTATCTAAATAAATTAAAATAATCTGTTTAATCTAATTAAATAGATTACATACTTAAAATTGTGCTGAATTATATAAATGTTATACCATACCTATGGACTATAATGGTTATGTCCCAGTCCTTATAAATACAGTAGAACATACTGTATGTTGATTGACTGTAGGATTTCACTTGCGGTTCACCTTGATTCACTTCTAGCCCACTACTAGCAGTTGATTACTTACTACATACTGCTGGCGAATCTTGTATGTTGTTCCTGTTATAAATATTATCGTTCCATTTCCAACCTTCGTTTTGGCTATTCTTATTCAGTAAACTTTTCCTAGGTTACAAGATTCTAATTAATAGGGGGAAAACAACTCTTAAAACACGTGACCTTTTAACAATACTGTCATTTAGAGACCACCTTAAAACATTTTCTGAGTCCAATGAAGCCATTTCTGACCTTAGGATCTACCTGGGACCCGGAAGTAAATGAGTATACAACAGAAATCAATAATAATAAGAAGAAGAAATGCTGATCTTGCTAAGGTCTGCGATAAAAACGTATCTTCTATCCGTTACATAACTTGTATTATTGCATCTTGTTTTAATTGTTCCTTATTAGATATTGCTGTTAATCTTTTATTGGGTCTAATAAGATCTATGGTAAGGACGAATCTTCTATCAATCAGACAACATTTATTACAGTCTCTTTGTTATACCGTACCAATCTGTATAACTAAAGTAGAATATACTTTGTGGTAATCATTGGGATTTACTTACTACATGCCACTGGTGAATCTTGTATGTTGTTTCTGTTATAAATATTATTGTTCTATTTCCAACCATTGTTTTGGTTATTCTTATCCAGTAACCTTTTCCTAGGTTGCAACAATAAACAAGTGTAGAGGTAAGAAAACTTTTATTACAATTTACTTTTCTGTCTGTCGGATTGGTAGGCAGCTAGTTCTGTAAGTGCAAAGAAATTATTTTGGAAAATCACATAACCTGTGTAAAAGTGTATGAGAATCTTTATAAAAATCATCTCCTTCCCAAATTATTAAGGCGACTTTTTAGTGTCTCACCATTCAGTTCTAATATGCTGAATTTTATAGAGGGGATTTGTATAACTACTGACACTTTTTTTTTTTTCTTTTTTTTTCTACTGACATTTTTTTTTTTTCTTTTTTTTTCTACTGACATTTTTTTTTTTCTTTTTTTTTCTACTGACATTCTTTTTTTTTTTCTTCTTTTCCAGCCTACTTGTTCCATCTTGCACATGACTCTTATGCTGGGGTGAGACGAGCTATTCTTGTGTCCCTAGCTCCATCAGCTGTGTCCTTCCAGGCTATACTTGACCGCACTAAGGATATTAATGAGACTGTTCGTAGCCAAGCATTTAATGTCATCTCGGAAAAAGTGAACATCAGGGCTCTGTCAGTGGCACAGCGCCTGGAATTGGCTCAAAATGGCTTGGAAGATAAATCTGGTAAGGTTGGAAGTTTGATGTCAGCTTGCCATTCTCAGACCTTTATTTTTTTTTTTCTTTGTTAATCCAGAGTTTTTTGTCATTTCACCATTGGTGTTTATTTAATTTATATTCACTATGAAGCTATTATAAGTATAAACGTAATGAGCTTTTTTGAGGTCTGCCTTTAGGTTTGACACTGAATTTTCTTTGTATCTTTTCATGTGACTATATATTAAAGACACCAGACATTTTGTATCGATCAATTTTATTGATAGTTTTCCAAATTACAAATAATCCTTTGCAGATATGCAGATAATCTCATCAGAAATTGTTCAAAGTTCATTTTAGAAGAAATAGGGTCTAATCTTTCAACTTTAAATCATCATCATCAGGATAGGTAGGGACAAAAAAAAAATAAAAATCACACATACATATACACATGTTACACCTCACCTATGTCATTACACACCAGTTCAACAGAACTCACCACTTGTCTCTACAAAATGTCTGCTGTTCCTAATAACATTTGCCTTAAAGAACACATGTTGCCTAAATACGTGTGTGTGTGTATATATATATATATATATATATATATATATATATATATATATATATATATAGAGAGAGTAGGGACAGTGGAGTAGTAGATAGCGGCTCAGATTGAGGAGTTGGAGAGACAAGTTTGAATTCCAGTTGAATCCATTACATTCGCTTATGTGCTCATACCCTTCTCCCTCCATCTATGGGTAAATAGTAAGACAGACTGGGTTCTATAGCCTTAAATGACAACTGGTCTAGAAGGACAACTCTGAATTCAAAATCTGTGGAAGGTTGTTTGAGGGACCTTGTGACACTTAGTGCACCAAGTCTCTGTATTCGGCCCTTCAAAAAGTCTGTGGATGGTTCTGAACAAAACCTTCACGACTATAATCATGTCATATGTGCTGGTGTCTGGCTCTCGGTTACAAGGAACTGAGCTGCTTGACCCTCATATGACAGGAGAGTCCACTATATATATATATATATATATATATATATATATATAATTTAACTTTTAAATATCAATTTTATCCTGACTTCAAAATTTCTTGGTAAAATTTCCAGTCTCCAGGGGTTCTCATTTTAAATGGTATTTTTCAATTTTTTCTGCATCTTTTTCAATCTGCATTTTTTTTTATGTTATTATTTATTGTATTTTAGTTATTTTAATTGATTTATTATATTATTTTATTATAAAAAGTAACAAAGTAAATCATTATATATATATATATATATATATATATATATATATATATATATATATATATATATAATCACAAAAAAATTTAATTTCAAAGAAGAAATTTATGACTAGAAGAAAAATCTACGCCTGAAAAAAAAAAAAATGAAAGACGTAAAATTTCATGAACATGCGCATGTAAAAGAACATTAAATTCATGAATACACACATGTACAAGATAGAGTAAAAAAAGTGGATTAAAAAGATGTGGAACAAATTGAAAAAAATTGGAATTACCGCTTAAAACCAGAGCCCCTGGAGACTGGAAATTTTACCAAGGAACTTCGAAGTCAGCATAAAATTGATATTTAAATTTATGTATTCTTTTCATATAATATCATTAATGCTCTATTTTAATACTTTTAATATTGTGCACTATATAAATTTTTATCAAAAGTCTCTCTCTTTTCAGCTAGATATTTTTAAGACTTGTAACAATGTTTAAATACATCTTCATGGAAATATTTTTTACATTTTGGGTTTATGTTTTCAAAATATTGTTAAATTATTATTTCCACTCATCAATATAAGCAGACTTGGGTCCGTCTCTTATTTGTTTATATATTTTAGTAATGTAGACAAATAAATTTAGTTTTAATCACCGTTTTATTTGGTGAATTTCTGTAAATTCAAGGGAAGTAACCATTATTGGGAGGTATTTGGAGACAGCTGATAAAACATATTAGAAAAACTTGAGCACTTGGACATGGGGTAATTATTAGCAAACTTGTCTTGCTAATTCAATTACGACTGAGTAGTGAGCTCTATCCTCACTGAGTGCAGTCTTGTTCCATATCTAAGCATCACTTTGTAAATCACTGCATTACAAAAGAAACTTGTCTTGTATTTTGTCTCTTTCTATTCAGTGATTGTTATAGAACAGTTGATGAGATATTTCATTAATATGACATCTGGGAAAAATTACCTGGCCACAAGTAGTTAAATTTTCACAAACTTACTAAAAGTCAGAATTCCTCTTTAGATGTGACATTTTTCTCAACTCTTCTTTCATTTACATTTTGTCATGTCTTGTGAAAAAAGCAACCTGAAACTGTTAGTGGCTAAATACAGGCTAAGTCAAGTATATTCCAGATTCGTTGTTGCAAGTTTTACGTGGGTCACATTTTACTGTCAGTCATTATATATTAATATATAATTGTATCTGGTTGTATTATTTTGTTGGTGGTGTTTTTTTTTTTGTTTGTTTTTTTTTCCCCTTCCAAAAAAAAAAAAAACGTTTTTAGGCCAAAGAGAATTAATAGCTGTGCCATATTTTCTGTTTGCAGTGGCAGTAAAGAAAATCTGCACTAACCGACTCTTCCAGACATGGCTCAGAGCCTGTGATGGTGACCTGCTTGAATTACTTCGTTCAGTTGATGTTGTTACTTCTTTGGAAACCTGTGAAGGCATGATTGCCTCTCTTTATTTGCAGTTTCCTGTTGATGAACTGGTGAAGAACTTTACTCTCTTGGATGAAAAGTAAGTTGGAATCTGGAATTTGTTTTTACTTTAACTTCTGCTTTAATTTCTTAAAATGAATCCTTTTTAGTCTCCGTTGAAAAACATGATAGAATGAATGATTTTGTTATTCATAATTGCTTTAGTTGATTTATATTAAGATCTACCAAACAACTTAGCATTTCTTGGATGTAATGTTTTCCTTGCTTTTTACCTATTGGGTAGATGTTCTGAGACTACCAAAAAATGCCTGAAACTACAGGTAATTCTAAGACCTGTACATTTCAAACCTGAATTTATATATAAGGCACAAAAAATTAGTGACAATAACTAATAATAAAATAGGACAATTATAACAATATCTTGTAATAAGTTATGTGACCGATAGATTTAGGCTTATGGCCACATCACATTGAAATACTGTTTCTCGTGCAATCCCCAAAGTTAAACAATGTTGAGCCTGGTCAGTACCTAGATGGGTAACTGCTTGAGAATACCATGTTCTGTAAGTGTGGATGTGTGGCTGGTATGGCTTACAGTCATATCATGTTGACATGGGGGTTCTTGTACGATCATTGAAGTTAAGCAATGTCAAGCCTGGTCAGTACCTAGATGGGTGATCACTTTGCTTGGAAATCTATGTGCTGTAAGCATGGATGTATGGGTGGTGTAGTGGATAATAGCTCGGAATTGTTAATTGGAGTGCTAAGTTCAATTCTTGTTGGGTTTGTTATATACATTTATGTGCAAATACCCTTGGGAAAGGTATGAATCCACTTCTTCTTTCCCCTCAGCTATGGGTTAATTAGTAAGACTTGTATCACTAAACCATTATTATCTTGAAAATAAAAAATTTCTTACAATCTAAAAATAATTTTTGGCTTTAAATAACCTGCAAATGGGTGATAAACTGTAGAAAACAATCAATGAGATACTGATTAGCTACACAGGCATGTCTTTTAGATTTATTTACATTCTCTGAAATATAAATGTATAGAAAGTACATTAATCATAAAATGAGGGATCAATTTATATATATAAAATTTTTGAAATTTCTCTGTTTTCTTAAAATTATGTTCAAAACCAAAATCATTAAAAATTTAATAATTTTAAAATACCCCAAAATTTTAAAAAAAAAAAATACTAAGAATAACTTAATTAAAAAATTGGATTTACTCTATTAAAGTTTAAAATTGAATTCCCAATTTTTTTATTAAACTAAAATTTGGGCTTTTTTTTATGAAACAAAAAAAAATTATTTTAAAAAATTTAAATCAAAAAGGTTTTTGAATTTCTGTCAAAAACAAAAAAATTTCAAGTTGTCAAGTTTTAACTGTCTGGTTTATTTTATCTTAAGATTGACATTATAATATATTTGGTAAATTTTTATTATTTTTTCTTTTTAAAAAAACATATTTAAAAGCATTAAAGTATTTTTTAAAAATATTATTAAGTCAATCCATATTTTTATAAAATAAAAATTGTTTTTTTAATTAATTAATTTTTTGAAAAAAATATTAGAGCAAAAAAAAAATCTAAAACTATTTCTATTTTCAAAATGAGGATTTAATAAATTTTTATTTTTTAGAAACTTAATAATATTTTTTTTTGGAAAATTTATTATTACAGGGTTGGAACCGTAGCAAAAAGATGATATTCTTCAGGTGGTTTTAATGTCGAACTGAAAACCCTTTATATTAAAACTACCTGGTACTAGCTGTAAATTGTTCTCCCCACTGCCTAGAAATAATTAATAAATAAATATTATCAGTATATATTTAAAAATTTTATTTTTAAATTCTATATAGTAACCAAATATTGAACATGACACACAGATATATTTGTCACTGAGATGTGCCAATTATAGAATTGATACATTTTATGTACATGATATATAATTTTACCTGATTAAAGTTTTTATTTCAGTGGCAGATTTTCTGTTGATTTTTAAGTTGTATTTGACAATGATGAATAACATACTTTGATTTAATGTTTCATGAGATTTTTCAAAAAACATTTAATTTCTTGCATTTTTTTAACCCATTCAGATTGAAATGATTTAATTTTAGGAAAAACAATAGATATATATATATAAGATAAATATTTTATATTTACAATATATAATATAAATATAAAATATATTGATATATATATATCAGTTTATATATTGATTATAATAGAATTGAAAATTTAAAAAATATTTTTATTTTTTATTAAATATTAAATATAATTAAAAATGTTAAAATATATTAATATTATATAATTAAACTTGTAAATTAAATACCATTATCTTTATTCAAAATTTTATATAATATTAATCTAAAAATATTATATGCTGTATTTTATAATATGAAAAAATTCAATATATAAATTATTCTTTATAAAAATATATATATATTATATATATAAAATAAAATATATATATAAAAATTATAAATATAAAATATCAAATATTACAATTTTAATTAGTTAGATAGATATATCCCATTATCCTTATATATTATAAATCATATATATTTATATATTATATATATATATATATATTTTATATTAAAGAAAATAATATTTTATTTAAGCAAATATTATATATATAGGCAAAAATAAAAGAAAAAACATATTTTTTCAAATTTTGCCATCTTTCGAATTAAAATTAATTCCAAATGAAATATTTTGTAAATTCTTATACATTTAAAAAAAAAAAAACAGAGAAATTTTAAAGGAGATACCTGTCCATTGTCTCATCAAAACATTGTTTTTGATAAATCTCTCCTCCAATTTAGGATCCTATTTACTATATTGTAATGTTTAATACACATAAAATTTCATAAAAAATCAGAATTTAAAACCACATCATTTATTATTTATAACATATCATATTTTTTTGAACCCTTGTTCAAAGGCCATCAAATTAAACAATCATTTAAAATTTTGAAATCATATTTATATTTTTGCTATTTGCGACATCATCGTTTGAAAAGAAATCATTTTGAATTGTTCTTTGGATTTCAACAATTTTTTTTATTCAAATTTTCTTGAATGTCGGAATTTGAAAAAACGTTTAAAAACAAAAATACACAAATTATTTAAATTTCAGATGAGGGGCTTATTTGAAAGACAAGTTTTTTATGGAATGACCAAAAAAAGATGATCATTGTATTATTTGATTTGAAAGTTCCTAGATATTTTTTTAAAACTGCATTTAAAATGATGAATACAGAGAAAGAATAATAGAAGTCATTTAGATAGATAATTCTGAAAAAAAATACATATCATTGAATATTATAAAAAGATAGATAGATAAATTAGATAATATTAAGATTAAAGATAAATAAAAAAAAAAAAAATAGATAAAAAAAATATACACAAGTTATGTGAAATTATTTAAAGCACGTGGTGAAAAAATTTCAATTTCTTACAAACATGATTCCATTTAAAATGCCAAAATACAAATATTTTTATATATAATATAAGAAATTGGTTATATATTTTTTTATATAGTACTATATTATAAATAATTTAATATATATTACTATATTATATCTAATTATATTATTTGAATTTAATTATAAATTTAGTTAAATGTAAATGAAATTTTTTAACAATATAAACATTTTCAAAATGAATTTCCATCTGTGAACAGTTAATTTTTTTTTACTTACTTTAAAAAAAAAGTCTTCAAAATGTTAAATGCAATAGTCAATTTAGATTATTTTCTTGAATCCTGTTCAGATATAAACTTTTTTTTTAAAATTTTATTCAACTCTTTTGCTATTTTATTTATTTTGATAAACCCCTATGACTAGTGTTTTTTTTTTGTCATGAATAATTTAAAAAAAAAAAAAAAATATTTAAATGAAAACAAAATTTGAACTTTTTCTTTTAGGTTGATTGAATCGTATTTAAAATTGGTATTTTAAAAGGGAAAAGTATAATTATATAATTATATATTTCTATACTTTAACATTATTTGATTGAAAAAGAAATTGTTAACTTAATTATTCTATTTAAAATATGCATTTCGCTGAAATGCAATGTTTAAATAAATGTTTTGTAATTTTTGATCAAATCGATAAAACAATCTGTACATTTCAGTTGATATTTGATGTTAAAATTTTTTTGAAAAGAATAGCATCTGATTCAGGATGAAGGATTAATTTTTTTTCTTAGATTTATAAACAGTTTCTAAAATTGATTTTAAAAATACCTAATTTCACCGAAAAAATATTTTTAATGGATATATTCCATTTAATAATGGATGTATATAATTTATTATTTTGATTAATAATATTTGTTAAATTTATATTTATTATCCGGCCTTATATTTATTAAAATTTATATATTTATTTATTTAAGATATAAATTTTTATAAAAGTTAAAGATTTAAATTAATTATTGCCATGTTTGATGGATGTCAGTTATCAGTTAATTTTCTCCTGACTAATTTTAAAATATAGAAAATTTCTCCACTGCCTTAACCAGGAAGTTTGAAATAAATAAATTTTGGGTCTTTCCTGGATATATATATTTATGAGTGTATATATGTATAGGATATATATATGATATTTATATATATATATAAACCCTTTTTTTATATAATATATAAATATGAGTGTTCATATTGCAATTTTTAATAATTTGCAGAATTTATCAGAGTAAATTTGCAAACTTTGTTTTAAAATTTGCTTAGAGATTTTTTAATACTTAAGGTTGTTTTTATATTAATATTTTTATTTAAAATAAATGGACTCTTCTTTTTTTTTTTGGAAGGCATTCAGAAGAAAAAAAAAAGTTTTGAATTTTCTCCAGAGTTCCATTTTATTTTGTATAAACACTTGTTGATCTAAAGCGGTTTTTTTAATAGCTTGTGGAATCGGGAAATGGAATTTTCAAATTTTTTGCATTTTTTTAATGAAAAGTAGATAAATTCTTACAAAGTTTTTTTGAATTTGGTTTAAATTAGTTTTAAGGAAAAGAAGTTGATTTTGGTTCAAG